GTCGCCATGCGTGTTGACTGCGTCTCCTCTCGCTTCTGCCCTCCTGTGTCCCCCTCCGCTCTGAGTTGAGGCAAATGTGGAGTAACCTGCGTTTCTGAGAGTCTGCTCTCCTTCTGCATCTCCTTTTCACTCAGCGTTTCACAGCAGAGCTGATGGGTAACAGGGAGTTATCTCCTGTGAAGGAGTTATCACTGAACCGTTTGACCCTCCTGTTCCCTCAGAGGGATGCTGTAGGGGGGAACTCTTTGACCACGAGAAGGGGATCTGTTTCCTGGTTTACCCTTTTCCTTCTACTCTCAACCCTTACAAGACTTGCTCACAGCACCAGTGTGTGAACACCCTCACCCCAGTGGCTTGGTTACGAAAAACTTCTACATACATTTTGTTGCAGGAAATGTACAGAACTGCATGTGGAACACACATGTTTTTGGGCACGCTTCAATTAAACTTCAGGGTTTCTAATAGAGGAACCCCAATCAGGGCCATCTCGGGAACTGTCCCATTAACTGAAAAATATTTTCAATATAATTTATGGCAAGACCATTTCACTAGGAAAACAAGTGTGAAAGATTAATTTTGGGCCGTTTGAACTGATGACAATAACTACAGATCAAGATGAGTAGAGGTGACAATAAACACCAGTACAAAAAAAAAAAAAAGCGTCTTCGAGAAGAATTAAAAGTTCAATGAGATTTTTCTGCCTGTTTTAACCGAAGAACAAAATTCAGGCCTCAAAATCAGTTGCAATTAAGTTGCAAGTGGAAAGCACCACGTTTCAGAAAAACTAGCAGAAGGGCTCTCTACGAAGAGGCGGGGGAAAAATTATATGCACTTGTCCTAAATCAGTACAGTGGAAATGCTGGGGATGAGTATTTGGCAACAATGTGAGAAAGAATTGAAGTGCATGGAATGGAAAATGGCAAAGATGAAGGAAACCAGCATGATTTGCAGACAACCGTAAAAGGCAATTTGTGCAGAGTTCCACATGATGCCACTCTGACCTAATGTATGATAAAAGCGGGGGAAGGGGAGGAAAGACCTTCCAGTGCACGTAAAAGAAGAATGCAGATGAGAAAAAGAGCAGAAGAGAAAAGGATCTGTAGCCCCTGAGAAAGGATTACTGTACAGCGCACAGCTAAAACTGTTTTGATATAAAGATCTGTAATGACACAGTGGGGAGAAGAAGGAATCGCTGACTGCGATGGGCTTTTGCGGACCACCACGGCAGTGCTGGGGACCCGTGGTGCCGGTGCTGGGTCTGGGTATTGTGGCAGTGATCCTGTGAGTGGTACCGAGTAGGGCCTGGGCCTGTGTCACGGGGAGGGTGAGTTTGATGAGGCAAGAGTCTTGTCTGCTGGAAATGGAGATGGTGGGTAGAACATGGTCTGTGTCGTTGGGGAAGGACTGGAGAATGTCTGCTTAGCTGTGGAGATGCCATTCCCCATGGCGCGGGATAGAGGATGCCAGCAATAAACTGAAAGTATGTAGAAGTATTTATTGTTGGGTTGCTGCATACATATGAAATCTGAATTTGTCAGCTTATCCTCTCACCCTTTTGTCTTTTGTGATATTCCTGCGTGATGTGAAGACATCTGCCATAGGCTGCCTTAATAATTTGCTCTTGAACGTGTTATGTTGTTGCTCAAACAGAACCTTTTTGAAATTTGGCTCATGCTGCCAGCCTTCTCTGATCCTTCCTTGATCTCCCCTCTGCTCTTTGTCTTGCTAGGGAGGGGAAGGAATTGTCTCCATATTCAGGATGTTGGCAAACCTTGCGTTTCAAGACAGTGGAATGGGATCCTTTGGTTTTCTTCCCTCCTCTTACCAAAACTGCCCTCCCTTCTGGTTTATTTTTCTCTCACGTCACTGTATTGGTCACAGTGGATGAGATGCAGACTGGAGAATTTTGGCAGCTGTCAGGTGGCAGACGTTTGGGTGATTTCCCATCAGTGTGCGGGATGGCTTTTCTGCTCTCCTGAGCTAAGTTTCACTTTGAGAGAATGTCCTTAGCTTTCAGGCCTCCCTTCTGCTTCCCCTGTGATAGAAGTGCCTAAGGGGCACTGCGCACTGTCCAGGTTTTGGAGAACGTGAGTCATTTGTTTCTGCCCAGCATCCCCAGAAATCTCTCATAAC